AGTTTAGGGATTAAATTGGTCCACTCTGACATGTGACGTCCTCAACTGTGATTGGTCGGTGTGAATAGTTTGGAAGTGGGATTATGCGCAGTTTAATCTAAGGTTTGTATAATCAAAGACGAGAACCAATGTAATTATTAGTATTAAAAAGTACAACTAAAATAGGTATATCGATGACACAAAACAGACTAATGAATGAATCTTTTTTTGTTTCAATTCTTTTTTTAAAATTTATTTTGTCTTAATGTGTATGTGGGGGTGAAATGAGGGTTTTTTTATTGTATTTTGTTAATTTCAACAAGTCATTAATTTTTATTTATTTTTTAAAGTTAGGTGCTTTCTTGAAAGTTATGAGAAAAGCACGTAAATTTCTCGGAACTCTTGAGTCATCTCCAAGGAAGAAAGTTAAAGAAACGCGCTGCTTTTATGTTCGCCAGAATAATAAATAATCATGAGTATTAACAGTTTTTTAATTGCATATATTTAATTTCATTCATGTTCATTTTCAAATAATAAATCTTACTTACTTTAACTGACTTTAAATTTAGTCACACTGTATAATGCGCTTATTTACAATACAATAATCCAATAACAACAAAAATAAATAACTGGTTCACAATAAGCAAAGGCACAATGACAACCAACATTCACCTTGGAAACAATAAACAAAGAATTAATCTAAAATCTTAAAATCTAAACCTTTTCAGTTCGTGGCTCCTAAGAAAAAATCCCCTTATTTATGCGCTTATTTAACACACATAGTTTACCTGTATTACGGGGTTATGATGGACAAGTAATGTTATTTTTAATAGACACGTTATTTGTGAACAGGTTGTTATTTCTATGTGTTTATAAAATAACAGACCTGTTAAAAATAACACAAGTTGTCAATCATAACCCCTTAAGTGACCGTAGTTAAATTATAGTCGGTAATGCGTATTATAAAGCAAATATTACAAAATAAAATATGTTCTACTACCGTGCGTAAAGTTTTACTTTTTTTTCACTAGTGCGTAAAGTAAAACTCTTTACGCACTAGTGAAAAAAAAGGAAAATTTGACAAAAATTGTACATAGCAACAAAATACTTTATATAAATACTTATATTTCTAATATTAGTGGATAATATACACGGTAGTAGAGAACATATTGTATACATCTCTTGTGTAAAGTCCCTTTTTTGACTTTACAGACTTGTTGCATAAATAACTATTTTAGCAATTTATAATAAATAAGACAGATAACATCCTCCCATAAAATTCAACCCTGTAGCATGAAACGACAGTTTAATAATATAACATTCTATCATGATTCATAGCCAACTAAAATCACAACTGGCAGTCAGTGTTTGAACACTTGATTTGTTTGTTCTGTATCGGTTCCACTATTTCACTGCCTTTGCCGGATAATATTATCCCCATTCACAACCATGGTAATTTCTTCAATAAACTTACAGCTAACAAAGAGATTGTTAATGCGATCTCGTCGCAAATTGAACAATTACTGGTTTCAGACAAAGACTCGTTACTGAAGCAATAATTCTCCTCATTTTTGTACTTTATAAATATGCGTATTTTAGGTTAAAGTTTACGATAAATTAATAACAATATATAGAGTAAACTTTATAAAATAGGAATCTTAAATTAATTAAAACTATAATAAAATAATTCAATAAATATAGCCAATTGTTTATATGTTGAGAAGATTGACTATTCAGATTGACTGAAAGCTTAATTTTAATTTTTATCGTCATAAAACCGATAATATAGAAGACAATTTAAAAAGATTATAAATTGACACATTTTAATGACTTATAACTCTAGAACGAAAAAAGATATCGATATGCAGTTCTCACTAGACTTCCTATATATACTTTAAGTTTCTGTTGACCATGTTGCCACATGTAATTTTTTTCTGGAAAGTGCCGAAAAAAAATTAACTTTTTGAACCAAAATTGTGAGTTTACTTTAAATAGAACACCTTGTAATAATTTTTAACATCCTTCGAAATATCATTTCTTCCCCTTTTCAAAAATGTATACATTGTAAGCATTTACTCAATTTTTTAGGAATAAGTTTAGAGGAAACTCTTGTCCCTATGGCCACTACCTAAAATCAACCTTAATTTATTTCGACTGTGCTAAAAAATATTTTACGTTTGGCAATAATGTTCTTGTTGTTATAATTTTTGTCAGCCGACGGTTTCTTTTTCAAATTTCCCGCGGGTAATTTTGGGTTCAACTAAGATTTTTAGAGTTCTATACACTACTGAACCCGCTAACGTTATGAACAATGACACGTTCATTTCCTCCTCGGTTACGTTTATTCTGAACATATTCTGTCGAGATAACTCCCAAATTCCTCCGGAGTACCTTTGAAGGGCTCAATATTTCCTATCCATTTGTTATTATTTTGACCAGTGCGACCATCACATACTTTGATTTTCTTTTACTATACGGAGAATGGTCGCACTGCGCAGCTTTCTGAGTGCCATTTTGAACCCTTATTACGTGTTGCCTACATCTTGGCGCAATATTTTTAATAGGTGCGTTTTAATCATCCGCTTCTGCTACGGAATTGTCGGTTTTCTTGTTTTAATCTGACAGGTTAAAACACATACTTTGATTACTATACGAGGCAAGAGAGAGGTCCGACACGCCCAACATAGGGCGCGGCCATTTTGAACCCTGTGACACAGTTTACAGCTAAAGAATCAGATCGCTCACTCTGCGTCGGTACTTTGGATCTCAATGTTTCAGTTTATACACTGTGCAACTCGGATAATACAATATATGACAACCGCCTATAATAAAACAGCAGTCTTCTGCGTATCCTGAATTTGTATCCCTGGAGTGGATGTTATTTTAGAACTTTCAACTGGTCCGAGTGAGCTAACTGATTCTTTAGCAATAAACTGTGACTTCAAAAATAATATTCACTGACACTGACAGCAGCAAGCAAAATATCAGGTGCGTTTTAATCATCCGCTTCTGCTTCCAGAATTGTCGGTTTAGTCGTTTTAACCTGTCAGATTAAAACAAGAAAACTGACAATTCCGAAGCAGAAGCGGATGATTAAAACGCACCTATTAAAAATATTGCGCCAAGATGTAGGCAACACGTAATAAGGGTTCAAAATGGCGGAGTTTTCTATCTCCTTTTAAAAGGCACTCAGAAAGCTGCGCAGTGCGACCATTCTCCGTATAGTAAAATAAAATCAAAGTATGTGGGTTAAAACGACTAAACTGACAATTCCGGAAGCAGAAGCGGATGATTAAAACGCACCTGATATTTTGCTTACTGCTGTCAGTGTCGGTGAATATTATTTTTGGAGTCACAGTTTACTGCTAGAGAATCAGTTAGCTCACTCAGACCTGTTGAAAGTTCCAAAATAACATACACTCCAGGGATACAAATTCAGGATACGCAGAAGACTACTGTTTTATTATAGGCGGTTGTCATATATTGTATTATCCGAGTTGCACAGTGTATAAACTGAAACATTGAGATCCAAAGTGCCGACGCAGAGTGAGCGATCTGATTCTTTAGCTGTAAACTGTGTCACAGGGTTCAAAATGGCCGCGCCCTATGTTGGGCGTGTCGGACCTCTCTCTTGCCTCGTATAGTAATCAAAGTATGTGGCGACCATTCTCCGTATAGTAAAAGCAAATCAAAGTATGTGCTCGAGACGTTATGCCAGTTGAAATCCTAAGTTTTTAATATTAGAGTTATTGCAAGTTCACTTAAGGTCAGTCACTATTAGTGCCGCTCTAATTTTGACATCTAAGCATGCGCAGATCACTAACTTTAATAAAGATTGTGCCTGTCTTTAATAGAGAGATATTGCAAATTTCTATAAAGCCAGCCACTAATAGTGATATCGTAATTAGAGTCAAATAAATTCTATAATAGTACCTAATATTAAAGAGGCATTAGAAATTATAATTTTAGAAGATTTAAATGACGAGCGCATTCGAAAGCTATAAAGTCGCCACTACCTGCTGCCCTTAAACATCCACAAATAAGGACAGGCACAATCCTTAATAAAGTCAGTTTTAGAACATAAACATCTACGCATGCTTAGATGTCAAAATAAGAGCGGCACTAATAGTAACTGACCTTAAGTGAACTTGCAATAACTCTCTTATTAAGGACAGGCACAATCTTTATTAAAGTTAGTGATCTACGTATGCTCAAATGTCAAAATAAGAGCGGCACTAATAGTGACTGACCTTAAGTGAACTTGCAATAACTCTCTATTAAATAATTGATATAGGTATTTACCAGTAAATCTTCTCCTTGTTTATAAAGTAGTCAACAATATTAAGCTTCTTCATACCATTTAATTTTTCAAGTAACATAAAGCTGTTTTAGTATCATACTATTTGACACTTTACTGTTAAGAAGTGACATGGATAATGCGTAAAAGTTATCATTTGACACTTTACTGTTAAGAAGTTGGATAAAGCGTAAAAGTTATCTTCGATTCCTGCAGGTTTTTTATTTATTCTCATTTTCTAATTCGACAGGTATGAATTAATTAAATAGATATTTTTTAATGATTGACTATTACTATTACTATTATTACTATTTGTATGCTTATAAAATAAAGGTAATATGAAAGTAGGTCAAATTTACTAGAACCCAACTGAGATAGGAATCTTCATATTCTCCGAAAGGTGGCGTCTAGGGAAATTGTGTCTGTCTAAGGCAACAGGACACGGTAAAATAAAATATATAAAAACTATGCAATTGTTAACTTATGTTCACATTATGAGGTTTTTGAGCCCGCATTAATTGCATGAGTTTTCAAGCACAAAATTAGAAATTGTTCTTTTTTTTCTCGACATGCGTGCAATTTCGATTCCTAGCCAATAGCAAATATTTATTTCCTGTCTTCTGTCTTTCGTTATTTTTGTTTTTAAGATTAGGGACATTAGGGTTAGAGCAAAGAAATAGAAGGTAATGAGAAACATTTTTATTTGTGTGTATATTATATAAAGATGGATAAAGAAAAAAGATTTAAATTTGTGTGGAACCGAGAGAGTATTATTGCTTTAATAGAGCTATATCGAACACATTTTGTGCTTTACAAGACTAAAGATCCTCAGTACCATAACAAAACTAAAAGGCAAGAAGCTTTGGAGTCAATCCGAATGGAATTAAATGAATTGAGTGAGTTTATATCCAGGCAATGTCTTGAAATAAATGACATTAAAGTTAAAATATGTACATACTCTCAGAACCCAGTTCTTTAAAGAATATAATAAATCGAAGAACACATCAAGTGGAGCAGGGACTAGTGAAGTAGTAAAACCAAAGCTGTGGTGTTTTGACTTATTAAAGTTTCTGGTGGAAAGCGAGACATTGACACAAAGTGTGTCTAATTTAGAAGTAATAACATAAAGTAATTAACACATTTTTTATTTGTCATTTCTAATATGACATCTGTCAAATATACAATCTTGTTTTTAGGAATCTCAGTTGGAGCAAAGTACCCAAAGCCAAATAGAGATTGAGTATGAAGATGGGACAGTATGCGAAGAAGGTATCGATGATTTATCTCAGAATGTAACTGGTGAAACAAATAAATCTGAAGTGTCTGAAACAATTAAAATAATTAATGGACCTGGGCCGATGGAAGAAACCCCAAAACATGAAAAAACTTTTGTTTATGAAGAAGTTGCCAGGTTTATTGGTAAAGCTACAAATATGCTGTCAGAGAAAAAAGAAAATGTAGCTCCATCAGATGATATTAAAGCTTTTAGCAGGTATGATGACTATTTGATTTCATTAAATTTCTTTCAAATTTTTTTAGGACCATTGCACATGAGCTAAAAAAAATTAAAAAAACTGAGATCCTAAGGGGAATTAAAAGAAAAATATTTTCAGATATTATGGATGCACAGGATGCAGACAATTAAGGGAATTTGAAGGTGAATTAAGGCAAACGTAATTGTTTAATCAATATAATTTTATAAATGAATATTTGTATTTTTCTTTTCAATAAGGGGAAAATAAAAAAAATATATAAAAATAATGTTCAATTTTAATTAAGATTAAAATTAGTTTCACAACATAAGTATCTCGCAAAGTTGGAACAACAATTTATAATATGTATGCTAAGCTAAATCATTTTGCCATTGTACAGTTCCATTTGTATTCACATAATCCATGAATTCCATTCTGTTTCTTAAGGCTGCTACACCAATTCTATTGCCTTGCTATACATTTTGCCTTATTGTGAACCTTCTGTCAATATTATCTTCATTTACAAAGTAGGTCTTTGGACAGTTTGTGCTAAAAAAATTATGTAATACAACACATGTTAGGGTTATTAATATAACTTTTTCAGGAGCTAAATCTATGGGATTTAATAAAATCCTAAACCGATTAGTTAAAATTCAGAAAGCATTTTCAACGACTCTCTTTGCTCTACTTAAGCGATAGTTGAAAATTCTTTGAAACCAAGTCATGTTCCCAAATGGAAATGGTTTCAAGATATTTCTCATTAGAGGAAATACTGCATCGGCCACAATTACAAATGGGCATGGTTTATTCCTACCTGGCAATGGTTTATCTTGTGGAAAGTTAAGTTTATTATTAAGCACGGCTTTGTATAATGAACAATTATTGAAAATTCCTCCGTCTGAATTTCGACCATTCTTCCCAATATCCACATACAAAAATTTACAGTCATAGTCGACTAAGGCCATTTAACAACGCTATGAGTTCCTTTGCAATTAAAGCCCCCAAAACATTGGAGAAGTTCCATTTGTCTTCAAAACCTTTTGCAATATGTAACCACTGTTCAGTTTCACACGGAATCTACAACACAAATGGCATTTATCTAACCATATACTATATATATAGTCGGTCTAATTAGCAAAAAAATAATGCCTGTATATGAACAAATCGAGCTTTTCACCCACGGTCATTTCTAAAAGGCATGAAATGGAAAAACTGCAAGCAATCAGTTGCAGGCTTCAACACTCGTAAGTTTGAAAACTGCTTTAGGATCACTATTTTGTATTTATAAGGTTGCGTATGATAAAACACATTATAATATCATTATAAATACTAAATATCATTATAATATGTATGTTATCCAAATATACCCGTATAATCCGCTTAAGCCGTGCTAAATTCTTTGGTGGAGAGTAATTTCATAAAATTGTCTAACGTCAGCTAAATCATCGTCTTCGCAAATTATACTTTGGGGAACATTCATTTTCATGATTGAAGACGTCAATTTCGTCCGTATAAGAGGCATGAGGGATGATTCGCACTCTGGGCGGTCAGTGTCGTCTAGGGATTAGCGGTCAAATTGCGATTCTTAATGTATTACCCGTCAATAGTAGGGAGAAGATCGTTCTGTTTTGGCTTTAGCTTGGTCACTATTCTGAATATAGTGGTTCCTTCGTAAGACGACCAATCTGCATAAGTTCTAGTAGATATTTTATATTTTACATTTTACCGTGTTTTAATTGAGATTAATAAAACAAGTAAATAATTGTAAATGAAGTTGTAATATAGTAAAAAAAAAAACAATAAACAAATATTCAGTGAGTTAAACTAAGATCAATAAAAAAGTTTCATTGTATTTTCTCTAAGGCCTATAGCTCAGAAATTAAGACGAGTAAGTTTGCTATTTAGGATTAGACCCAGATATTTTACTTAGTTCGTTTTTTTTTAGCCAAACAGGGTTGGAATTTCTATGACCTTATGTTAAGGTTATTTGATTAGACCTTAAGGCAAGACTTACTTTAGTTTTGTACATTTTTGACAGTAGTTAAGTTGACGTTTTTTAATATTTATATAGTTATCAGTTCATGTAAATTTCTATATTTTCATTTTATAATAATTATACACTTCAATAATGAGTACATTCAGGTGGTGTATATGGATATAGCTGAATGGGCAACTCGTAACACCTCCAACCTTGTTTTCCGAGTAAAGGTTATGCCTCATCAGGGTTTACTAAGGTTTTTCCTAACGCACCACATTTCTGTCAGCCTTACAGATCTTTGCATGAGTTCGAAAACTGTGGTTTGGTGTTCGCCTCGGATAAGGATGACTATATCATTGGCGTATCCTTAGGCGTACAACTCTTACTACTTCAGTGTTTCCAGCAATTTATCTGTCACTAGGTTCCACAGTAGAGGAGAAAGGACTCCAATCTGTGGACATTCTCTGTGGATGTCCGCCTGCGTGGTTTCACTGAATATTTGTGCCAGTACTTTTCGTCTGCGTTACATATCCTCTCTACCAGCAAATGGTGTCTTCTATTCCATGTTTACAAGCGGCAGCTACCATTGATTTAAAGAAGGTATTATAAAAAACTCCTTCTATTTCAAGAACTGCTCCTAAGACAATTTCTTGGCTACTGAGTTTCCCCTCTCTCTTGGTTACCAGATGATATAGAGCAGACTCACAAGATTTTCCTGATTTATAGTCATGTAGGTTTTTATGAAATAGCATCTCTATCAGAGTGGTTTGCCAAACAGGCTGATCAGTCAGTTTTTCCAATCCTTTTAATAGAAATGTCGTCAAAGTTATTGGTCTGTAGGCATTTGCCACGGCATATGTTGTATGCTCTGGTTTAGGTATAAAAATCACCAGGTATTTGGTTCATGTTTATGCACTAAACTTGCTTTGTATAGCCTACAAATATGCCGGGCCAGTGTTTCTATTGCCTGTTGCAGAGGCTCAGGCAATACTCCATCTGATCTCGATCATTTGTATGGGTTAAAGGTGCGTATTAACATTAACTATGTTACTTTTTTTATTGTGACTACCATTCTTGAATAGAGACCCTTTTTTGAGAGTTGCAGTTCGTGTGAGTTTGATTTGCGGCATTTGGATTTGTTGTGCAATCAGAGAAATGAGTTTTGTGAAGTATTTCTAATGTAGAGTCACTACAGGGTTTATTGGATCTTTTGCTTGAATGCAGTTGAGTCTGCATCCTTCAGTTGTATTTTCAATTTCCTGACAAAAAGTTCTCCATGAATACCTCTCAGTTTTTTTAAGAGTATTGTTAAGTTTTTCTCTCTTTTAACGCACAGTTATTGTGATATGATGTTATAATTGCGTCCAGTAATTGTTCTGCAACTACATCTATATCATTTTTAGTACTAAGAGTTGTTTTAATGGTTTCTAACACTTTCCCTGGCTCTACCCCTGGTTTATCGATTTTCATGAGTATATATCGATAACATCCTATGATATTTTCATGAAAAATATGTTAGGCTGTTTTAGAGTAAGGGAAAAAAATCTAAAATTTCTACTTTAGCACCCTGTAACTTTTTTGATATCCATTTTTTCATGTAAGCAAGTTAGTTTAAATGATTTATTTTCGACTCCAGAAACTGTGGTTTAATTTACATATTTTTGTTACACCCTGTGTGAAAGTAATTATAAATAATTGTAGCCCGTCATTTGTGCTGATGGGATTTTTGATTTCCTTTGTAGTTTACCTTCCAGGCTTCATCCTGTAGAGTGTAGCGCACCCTGTATACAGGGTGTATCAACGATGCGTGGGTGAACGATAGCTGCTTCCCTATATGAGATTGGAAAAAATGCTTCAAATAAAAGTTGTAGAGGGCATTGAAAGCTACGTTCCAAAAATAACTACCTATATACAGGGTGTCCGATAAATGTATGAGTTATCGAAGTAATGTTTTTTTAAAGGAAACACCCTATATATTTTTACTCGATTAAATTTCTTTGGAAGAGTGTTTCTCAAAAATACAGGGTTGTATGGGTTTATACTGGGTGTTTAGGAATTTATGGTGGGATTTAGGTAACAAAATGGGTTTATTCAACATCAAATATCTCTAAATCAATAATTTGGAATAATTTTTTTTCTGCCGAATATTCTCGAAAATAGAGTATTTTCATTTCCTATTCATAATTTTACCGAATTGCGCTTTTCCCATACAGGGGCAACCAAAACTCGGGACCACTTTTTTCTCAGTTTTTTCAAATGGAACACCCTGTAAATGAAGCCATACCAGGATAACCCATACCATGAGCTTTCAGAAAATGTAGGGTTTGCCTACTTGATTTTTATCGGAAATGTATCTAATTCTTAAGGAAAGTATAAAAAAGTTATAAAAGCAATAACTTTCATTCGAAAAAGCATAAATTCACATCAAATGTTCGAATAATCTCCCATTTTGAGCTATGCACAAATTAAGTCTATCTACATTTACTCTTCTAACTTCAATTAAAGTTGATTTTGTAATAGAGTGAAAAACTTCTCTAATTCTATTCTTCATGTCTTCTGGTGTCGTTGGTTTTTCGCGGTAGACCTCTCCTTTAACATATCCCCAGAGATAGAAATCTAGAGGCATGAGGTCTGGAGACCTTGCTGGCAACTGAATGGGTCCGTTTCTTCCTATCCATTTATTACTGCGCCATCTGTTTAAAAACCATCTTACCTGATTTTGATTGTGGGGAGGCGCGCCATCATGTTGGTAATATAACCTGATTCTGGTGTCAATAGGTACATCCTCCAACAAAATTGGTAAATGATCTCGGAGAAAATCTCTGTAAATTTCCCCATTCAGTGGACCATCAAAGAAATGTGGTCCTATGACCTGATCCCCAATTATGCCCCCCCAAACATTTATCGACCATCTATTTTGGTGATCAATTTCTCTGACCCAATGTGGATTCTCTGTTGAGTAGTAGTGGCAATTGTGTCTATTTACTATTACATTACTTTTAAATGTTGACTCGTCACTAAACAAAATTTATTTTAGAAAATTTGGTTCCTCGCGAATGAAATTCAATATATTTTCGCAATAGCGAACTCTGGTGTCATAATCCCTTTCATAAAGTTCTTGATGTAATTCAATTCGGTATGGATGAAGTTTATTTTTTATCAATATTCTGTTCACGGAAGTGTAACTTATATCCAGCTCTCTTGCAATTTCCCTCGTACTAACATGA